GACAACTTCTTTTGATAATAGTTTTAGAAAGCTATGAACGGGGAGTATTTAACGTTAAAGATAATGTAAGATTATCAATCTATTCATATTTTTCGAAGGAAAACAACTTTTACAAAACACTTAACCAACCTTGTTAACGAATATTTTTTTATGAAAATGAGATTGAGTTAGGCTGTTTAAATACTCCCTTCAGGAATATAAGTTCTTTATCTTGGTAAAATAATGATTTGTGATAAACAAAAGACGAGAGAAGTGGCCACTGATTTGAATGCGTGCAGGTTGAGGAACGATTTGTGGCAGTGGATGAATTACTTGAAGCTGACGAGGTCTTTTGTACGGGGACAGCAGTGGTTGTATCACCTGTGGGCAGCGTCACATATCTCGGAAAAAGGTAAACTTTTGGAACTGACGTATTTCATAAACAATATCTTGACACATTGCAAGACAGCGAGATAATGGGATTGAGTAGTTGGGAAATTGAACTGGCTTTCTGATTAAAAGTACATTTTCCCGTATTCATTTGTTTTTGTGTAGAAGAGATTATAACATGCTTAGCATGGGATTAAGTGTCCTCAACACAAACCATAAATTACCCGTCGCTCGAGTGGACTTGGAAATGGGAAATCGTTTGACTAAATTAAGCTGTATCTCCATTCTTTTTAGTTTTTACGTCAGTTGCTTGAGTAGGGGCAATGAAATATGTAGACATGAATGTATTCTGCTTGTATTGATTTGATGGCTGGGTTTTGCAGGACATCTTATGGAGATGGTGTTGGTGTTGTTTCACAACAACTCTATTCTGTGCTTACCAGATTACAAATGGGCCTTATCGAAGATAAGATGAATTGGACTGTCAGCCTATCGTAGGCATAGGGTGACATTATAAAACCCCCCTCTACCTTTTCCGCTAGTTCCAGAAATTGTAGTTTTCTCATATCTAAATTAGCCGTGTAGATAGTTATGGACAGTGTTCCAAGAATTTTAAGATTTCCTGCATGTTTTGGGTTGAACTGGAAATGACTAGCGTGACAAATAATAAATAAATAAAAACTGTTTTTTTTGCTTAATTCCTTCGCTGGCACTTCATATTAAACACTCTGAGCAAGTCGAACATGCAAGGAATATGACTCTGTAGTTTGTCTTTGAATTGGGTGAACTGCCACCACTTTAGTTCACACGTTGGATTTGATGGACTTGGACAGGTCTAGAAAATAATTGAATTGTCATGTTTAAGACATCTAGATTGTTTAATTATGTGCATTGATTCAATATAGCAATTTTTTTCCTCTAAAAGTTTGGCCATATTGACTTTGTTAATGGGCTCGTGTAAATTTGAATGAAATTGATACGGCATTTCCAATCAAGGTCGGTGAAATACAGTTGGCAAGCATAAGCATGTTATGTAGTAGGACTTAAACTCATGGTTTCTTCTTTTCCACAAGACTCAATTCAGTGCACCGCGGTCTTGTTTTGAAGGTGTTAATGGAAATAGGGTGATGTAAGTTGTAAGTTGTAAGGTGGTAGTCATAGGTAAACTTTCAGTTGGATTAAATCCTTTGTGATGGAAATGCTCCCTTGTTTTTTTTACCCTCCAACCTAACCGAGGGGGAAACACTTACTTCTGTTAAATTGTGAAGTTGGTAGCGAGCTTGACTGCTACCTAGCATGCAGCCAAAGGGTATGTTTTTTTCTTGATTATTAGTCGAGCTTCAACCCTTGTAATCTTTTCTAAATCTCCAACAACTTAACCTTCCATCTCGGCAGGAGGAGGTACAACACGAGCGGTAGTTACATTGGGATGGTTTGCCTTTGGTGGCTCCATTTTCCATGAATTAATAAGGTCTTGGATGTCATGTTTTTTATCCGCTTAGCTCTATCCCCTAGTAGGGGTATTTCAATAGCCATGTGATGGTCATCTTAGAGTGATCCTTTTGTTGAAAAGTAATAGGGATGTTCTAACAAGTCATTCTTCTTTTAGAAACAATTTTCTTGTTTAGATACCATCATAATCAAGATATCAAAAGAAATTAAATTGCACCATGTAATCAAATATCATAATACATAAGCCTGAAATTCCAACATTGGGCTTCACATGCTTTCTCTTCACAGATATTCGATTGATTTTTAGGCCATGAAAAATGATAGAGGAGAACAGAGGGTCAAAGTGACGAGACACCATGTTTTGAACTGTGAAATGTAATCATGGTTATGTTATGTTTGTATTCTACAAACCATGCCGACCGATGGTTAGAATTTCTTTGTAAAAACTGAAAATGAGCAAAAAAAAAAAAAAAAAAAAAAAACTGTTATAATTTTATGTGTAATTTTTACTTTGTTATAATTTTCCTATCTATCATGAAGATTTGTATTATAGAATAACCATTGATTTTTAATATTGGTACAGATATTACACATATAATTTAACAGGAATAATGTAATGAGCATATAAAATCATGAGTTGAAAGTAATGTAGTAGTGATACTGTTTTACAACTGTTGGATGGAAGAAAGAAAGAAAGAACAAAAACAATTCCCCATACTTTGTAACCACACCCATATCTTTACGACCAAACAACAAACAACAAACAATGTTAAAATAAACAAACAATCGAAGCTGCTGCCAAATATCAGTCAGAAAAGATTTTGAAATGAAAGCTGGAAACCAATCTTATCAATCTTTCATTGACCATCACAACAACATTATAATAATAATAATAATAATGTAAAAATGTTTCTCAAGTCTTGTCTTGTTGCCTTAGGAGTCCAAAAGTAGGTCAAATTTTGAAGTAAAATAAGCTACGCATATGACATATTCCATCTTGTGATCCACCCACAGCCCTAGCTAATTCACACTTTGAAATCCTCACAATTTCTTATTTTGTCTTCATCTCTCTGCTAACTTTTACATTTTTTGACCTTTGCACCATCCCTTTTAAAAAGTTTGTATTTTTAAAACATATATTTCTTTCTTTCTTTCTTTTTTTTAACTCAAAGGACACCTGGATCTAAAACAGAAATAAAAAACCCCCCTTAGCTGACTCTACCCTTATTCAGCAACAGCCTTTGTTTGAGTCAATTTGCAAGACTCATTCCATTGTTAGCTAAGCATGAGATCATGTTAATGCCCACCAAATATCGTGTTTTCTTACATACTATGTGTGTGTGTTTGTGTTTGTGTTTTCTTAGTTGCTTTTAGGAAACGTGTGGCGAATGAATGAGATGTGCTTTTCCTTTGTCTGTGTTTTGAAGACCTATTGACTGTTTTTATCAATCAATGTGTTTCTAGATGTTCATAGTTTTCGTGAGTAAATGATTTGAAATGGTCAACTTTTAATCTAGAAATTGGAGTTTTTGAATTTAGCAAAACATGTTTACTAACTATACATGCATATCAATCAATCAAACAAAACACAGTGAGATCCCACGTCGGTTGGAGAGGAAAACGAAACATTCGTGATAAGGGTGTGAAAACCTCTGCATTTTAAAACCCTGAGGCTAACAGTGATACGTTAATATCCACTAGTGGTAGGCTTGTGTTGTTACAAATAGTATTAGAGTCAAGCACCGAGCGGTGTGCCAGTGAGAACACTGACCCTCCATAAGAGGTGGCTTGTAGATCCTACATTGGTTGGAGATAAGAACGAAACATTCCTCTTCTCTCTAGTAGAAGCGTTTTAAAACCTAATCCAACAGTGATAGTTACATAAAACTTGGCATATCAGATCTGGGCCATACATGGAGAGTGGGAAGAACCAAATATTTAAAAGGCAATATGCATCCCACAGCACAAACAAACACAACAAAGATGAGCATTTGAAGGAGGGAAGGAAGGAAGGAAGGAGAAAATTCAAAAAAAGAAAAGTTGTGATCCCAATGTTGCAGTGTTATAATATTAAAGCTTTTTTGACTTTGAATGTCATGTAATGGGGATTTGAATGTCATGTACTAATGGGGAGTCAAGTCAGCATAGGCATATTAACATATACATATGAATGAATCTTCAAAATGGATTATTATTATTAAGAAAAGAAAGGATGAATTATTTAATAATAAAGGAGAAGGGAGGGGATAATGGAAGGACAGGAGAAAAGAAGAAGTCCAATAAGGTGACGCAGTTGATTTGACAGTGGCTGCCTGCCTCGTTTTCTTCTGCTACCAATTCTCATCGTAAACAAAGACACACACACAGACAGTGCATCTTTGTCAAGATTTCTACTCACTCACTTTTTGGGCATTGCCATGTGCCATTTGTCTATTGGGTATTGCCCATCAATATACACATATATATATCTCTTTCTTTCAAATATCTATTCTTCTAGTCCCATTATTGTTCCCATAATTTTAAACTTTTTCCTTTGTCTTTAACTTATTATATTATCGTTTTCCTTTCCCTTTGCATTCCATTATTGTATTGTTATCCCAATTACACCTATTTCAATTGTTTCTCCACATTGGGTCACCAACCTTAACCAAATTTTACCCATTTATATTCGTATCTCTTTGTTTTTAAACATTGTCTTACCCTCTTCCTCTTTTTTCTTCCTTCTAATTATTGGATATATAATATATATATATATAGTAAGACGTCATTTTCATATTTCGTAGTTGAATTGATATGAGTTAATGCAATTTTCTAACATCAAATTCAAACTCATTTTAGGAAGTTAGTTTTCATTTATTTCATCCTAACCTAACTTAATTAAGTTTACATTTGCTAAAAATCTAAGCAAAACAGAAGAAGGTTCGCAAATCTTTGCTTTAGAATTGAAAAACATGGATGTGCATGTTTCACTAAAGCAATGCTCGTGTTGGCAAGTCTATGAGCTCCAACAAAGGTAATCTAACAAGTTGTTGAATTTATAAATTAGTTTGTGACGAGTGATGGACTACTGGATACAAAATTAGTGAAGAAATTAATGAATCCCTGGCTAAGATTATGTAAACTTACACATCAAACAAAACGCACAACCACAACCCAAACATTCCATGAAAATAATTAAACATCGAGGAGTCCCACGTCGACTAATGAAGAGGTTGATCACGAGTTTATAAGTAAGGAATACATTTACACTAGTACAAGACGTTGTGTAGAAGATAAAAACTTAGGCTCAAAGTTACAATATCATACATAGTTTCTAACATATATAGAAGCAAAAGCTGAGTAGGAAGTTGTTGGTGTAAAAAAAACAAGACCAAAATCAGGGCAGAGATCTATGTCTGTAAAACTATTTTTGGTTTAGGACACAGTGTCAGTCTCTAACTCATCTCTACTCTATATTCTATTTTGATTTCCCTTTTCACTGATTTGACCACACAGATTTGAAAATAGTTGTTGAATTCATGAGCGAGCAATATGGGGAATGGGGTAAGTGGTTTTTGGTTGAAACCAAAAAAGTTACAACAATTAAATGAAGAGAGGACAAGAGCATATTAACATTGTTCATAATCCAAAAACAAAACAAACCCCTGCTGCTCTTCACTTCAACCCCTTTCAAACAAAAAAAAAAAAAAAAAAAGGAGAGAGTTAAGTGGGTATCCCCTAAACCCTTTCCATAGGACACCAACACCCATGATATCATTATATTCTTCATACTTTTCTCACTTTCCAACCATTCTTCCTTTTCCAACAAACCCTTCTTATCACTCTTCTAATAATTTTAACCCACTAAATAAATATTCCTATACATGCAAATTTCTATTTTCTTTAGTTATTAAATCATAAAGTTGGGATCTTTTTCCAAAACCCACTTTTGAAATCCTGTGACACTTTCTTTCATGCGTTCTCTTCTCCTCCAGCTACTACTCTCTCTTTTCCTTCTTTCCTTTATGTGCGCGCACACACATATATATATATATATATATATATATATATATAAACCTAACCATTATCTTGGTATTACCAAACAAATAGCTCAAACCTCAAAAGAGAAAGAACATGGGAAGAGCTCCGTGTTGTGACAAAGCCAACGTCAAAAAAGGACCTTGGTCGCCTGAGGAAGATGCCAAACTCAAAGCTTATATTGAGCAATTCGGCACCGGCGGCAACTGGATTGCCTTGCCTCAGAAAATAGGTACCAAATTTTTGATTTACTTCACCACCCCCCCAATCAAATTTTTATATCCTCAATTTTGAACTCACCAAATTGAGATTCTTAGGCCTTAAGCGATGCGGGAAGAGTTGCCGATTGAGATGGCTGAATTATCTCCGTCCCAACATCAAACATGGAGGGTTCTCAGAGGAAGAAGATAACATCATTTGTAGTCTCTACATAAGCATAGGAAGCAGGTAAATTTAGTACCTTTCTTGAAAATTCATAATTAATGAATCAATTTGAGCTGAATTTGTGAGATGGGTTTTGTGTAGATGGTCCATAATTGCAGCTCAGCTACCGGGAAGAACCGATAACGACATAAAAAACTACTGGAACACGAGATTAAAGAAGAAGCTTCTGGGAAAACAGCAACGTGAACAAGCAGCTCTGGCTAGGCGAATTCATACCCTAAACCAACCTCATACTACAACACTAAAAAGGGATGATATTGAAAAGAATTTCAATGTTATTCATCCTGATGGAGCTTCTTCAATGAATTTCAATCAAACCCCATATTTTCCAAATCCCAACACCAGCGGCCAAGAGTTTAGGGATTTGATCATGAAAATGGGTGGCAGGTTTTGTTGTTCTGATCCTCCATTTCAATTGACCCAAATGGAGAATAGCATTTCACAACCCCATCAAAATCCATTACTGTTTGAAAATTCAAATCTTGGTGAATTCTCAGCAGAGTACATGCAATTTGGAGTGGAGGATCCGACAGCAGGAATGTTCCATGGAGTTGTTGAATTTGGAGATCCATTGCAGAATAGGTTTGAAAATGGGATGGAGGGTTTGTATGGGATGGGAAGTAGTTCAGCAGAAAGTAGTAGCTCTTTGGTTTATCCTCCGCTTGTTTCTTCAGAATTTGAAGCTTCCCAACAAAGCTTGCCTCACAATCATGACACTCATGTTGCTGCTTTTGGTGAGTCTACACACTATTGCCTCCTATGACATCAACCCTGAAAAGGGTCACTTGTAAATTTGTATTTTGGATTCCAATTTCCCTTAATCGACTCTCATTCAACAAATTCGTTTGTTTCCAATTTTGTTCTCTTCAATCTCTCAAAATTATCCACCTTTAATAATTCTTCCCATTTGATCCATTGGAAGACATGGGTTTGGCTGTAAACATAAAAATTTGGTGTCCTTCCATGAAAGGGATGGAAGTGGAAGTGAATTAGAAGCAGAAGAAGAAGAAGAAGAAGAAGAAGAAGAAGAAGAAGGTTGTTATGGACAGTTTGGCTCAGACTCGGTTGGGGTTTAGCAAAGAAAGCATCAATAAAAATGGGTGCTTTCTGTCACATTTTTTTTCTCCATTTAATTCCAACCAAAAAACAGCCATCCCATGTAATTCCAACCAAAAAACAAAGGCAAATTCAAAACCCATAAAAAATAATATAATATTTGTAGTAAAGTGTCAGAATCAGATTCCTGTTGGAGTGGTTTTTTTGAGGAAGAAGAGAAGGAGTCCCTCATTTCCCCGTCTTGGTGTGGTGTGGTGTGGACATTATATCAATATTTGTTTGGATTAGACATCAGCTGTACCACTCTACAGTCTTCTTACTGTTCCTCCTCCTCCACTTGGACCATTCTTGTCTCCCCCATTATTACTCATTATATCTCATTCTCCCCCCTCGACCCTTCCACATAATCAACCCTATCTTAATAACATACCACCGCCCAAGCTCTTACCAATGACATTAAAGCTTGACACTCAAGCTAGACACTCAAAGCTAGACACTCACGACACTCGGCTCCTAAGAAAGATGGATTGTGAGATTACATATCGGCTGGAGAGGAGAACGAAACATTCCTTGTAAAAGTATAAAAACCTCTTCCTAGTACGCGTTTTAAAAATGTGAGACTAATAGAAATACATAACATGTCAAAGCAAACAATATATGTTAGATACCCAACAGTGTGTTAGCGATGATGCTCGCTCCCAAGAGAGGTGGATTGTGAAATCTCACATGGGTTGGAAAAGAGAACAAAGTTTGTCTTATAAGGGTGAGGAAACATCAGCCTAACATAGCGTTTTAAAATCGTGAGACTGACGGTAATACGTAATGGGTCAAAGGGAACAATATCTGGGAGTGGTTGTTAAATTAATGTTTATGCTAATTAATCAATGTGATCACGTGGTTGTTGAAAAGTAATGAAGTAATTAACCCTCAATTATGTTAGCTCCAATAAGACCAAGTTTCATTTATTTAAGATTTGAATCAAGAAAAGTTTGACATCATTTGTAAATATTATATAATATATTCACTCAAGAACATTTCAACCCAATTATCAAATAGTTGCCCTGGAAAATTCTTCCATTTTCAGGTTATTTTATAATTTTACTTTGGGTAATTTAATCTCTATCGTTAATAACTTAACTAATTCATAGAACAAAAACACAACATATATAATTAACCAGAAAAGGAAGTTTGGGGAAAATATTAATTAATTTAGACAACAAACATTATCCACATAATCTTCCAAACATTCTCCAATAAATATATATATATATAATTATTAAAGAGAATTAGCATATTTTAATTATTGCAAAACAACAAACTAATTTTCCTTAAAAAAAGTGAAAATGTTATGCAAGGAAATTTTGTTTACGTGTGGCGGCTAAGATGTTATTTTATATGCTCAAATATACTGAGACAATCATATGCATACAAAAACAACTCATTTTTATGTTCTATATATTGATATAATATGTGCATCTTGGGCCTAATTCTCTACACTACCATTTAATTAATAGCCTAAACTTAATTTAATCATTTAATATATTATTTGATATATTCCCCTTCTAATGTGGAATCAATTATAATACCAATTTAGATTTTAGGAATTAATATATATAAAGATTCCACGATCATTCGAATAAATTGGGTAAAAGACGGAAAATATAATCATGCTCATTCTCTGTATAAATAGAGAATTCTCTCTCCAAAAAATTGATATCTCTATATATTGGACGATAAATTAAAAATCTTACCATATTCTAGAAGGATGGACCTTTCATGGTTGGATAATTTTGAATTAGATTTTAGGGTTGATTAAATTTGAAAAAAGTGAAGGAGTATTAAATATGTATGTAAGCAATGACATCAATATGTTAATTAAAGTGTAGAGTCACATAATATACATATTATGTATTATTATATTTTCCACCTGTACTATTCAAACGGGGGCATTTAATTAGGCATTCAAATTTCAATCCATGTGACATACCTTTCCCATGTGAAAGCTTTCCATAATTATTATCATATTTATCTTATAATCTTCTGTATTTGTACTCCATCTCTCCCTTACTTTATTTATTACCTTTTAAAAAAATCAACATTACAATATTATTAATGGAATCATCCCTTAATTAAAATATTATTCTTTTTCTCATCATTTCAAAATCAAAATTCAATCTTATAAAAATAAAAACAAAATATAACTGATCGTTATACATATAAATATAAAAAATGACGTTGTATTTTAAGAAATTAAAGTTGGGTGAATATTTTAAAACCTAATTTATTATTATTATTATTATTTAGGGTTGGGGAGAAAAGGGTTGATTGAAATCCAAGCCACGACAAATGCCACCCGACGACCTTCCAATCCACACCACCTTTTTTTATATAATTTAAAAATTCATAATCAAAATTTATCAATTCCTAATTTCCTCCCACTCGCTTTATTTTATTTGTATTTTATTGGTGGATGTTGACACTCACTAACCCTAATTAGCATTATAAAACTATAATTAGCATTCTTTCTTAGACTCTTTATGTCACTTCCGCCCATTAAATAGGACTTTTCCTCTCTCGATGGTCTCTATCCCAACCGCAGACTTGGGCCTTACAGTCCATGTATGGTTTTCCGGTTCATTCCGGCCCAAGCCCAATGGATCCGGCCTTCCTAAATCCTAATTCTTCTCTTCAACTAATGCGAGATCTTAGATTGAAGGCACAGAGTAAGGAATCCAATAAGTGGTTGAATGATTAATAAATAAAAGAAAGAACGGATAAAGCAGATTGGTTTACCATAGGACATATTTTTTAGTTTGTCTGGGGACAACAATTGAACAAAAAAAGATAAACCAAAAGTTAAACCTTTTTGCACACAACAAAAGCGATTGATTAGGAAAGGCACACGAGGGGGGTGGAAAAGGGTTCCGGGAAAGGTTGTATGAGAACCAAAATGGGAATACAGAAAAGGGGAAATGAAGCGGGAAATTAGGGATACTTCACCCACTTTAAAGGCCATAGTGTTGGGTAATGGGTACGCACATAATATATAGATATTAAAGGGAATGCCGAATGGTTGGTGAACACCCCTCGCCTCCTCCTCCAACGCTGATTCCCCTTCGACACATTCCACACCCTGCAGATGCTTGCTCCCACTTTGTTTTCCAAGATCTATTCATTTGCTTCTCTGCCTGTGAAATCAACTTGGATCGTGTATGTGTGGAGCTTTAGATTCTCATCACACAAAGTGGGGTGTTTCAAATACAAATACATCCACATACTGATAGTGTCTTATATCAACTACAAATACATCCTAACACAAAATTTATGGGTTAATAATCTCTTTATTATTTATATGGATTACTTTTACGTGGAATTCAAAAATAATTGATATAATCTTACTATTAATTATATTGTAAAGGAAAATGTTGTTTAAGGAGTCTGGAGCTAAGTTCATCCGTATGAAATATGAAATCTTACAAAATTTGGTATCAATCGCATGACCGTTCGCCAAAATCATGTATACATATGCTAGATTGGGAATGCTTCAAAATATATCTTTAAGGGAAGCATGATGTCAGCTCTCCACCACTCTTGGGCTTTGTGGTCTAAGCCAGCTGCCTTGTGACACATGCGTGTGTCACGGTAAGGGCAAGTATTGTGAAACAAGTGTTTCGGGAGACTTTCTTTAAAATGGGTCTTCAAGGACAGTGTCTAACGACATGAGTATGTCAACATTGCGCCCCCGCTAGTGTGTCAGAGGTTAGAATATGCACCGCTATTCGGAACGGATGTTGTAAATGACTTAGCATGGACACGAGATAGTCCAATGCCTCGATAAAACCCAAATTGATGGATGTTTGAGATGTTATGATATTATGAACAACACGTGGGTTCGTTCTCGATGAGCATGATCAAGCGGGCGTTGATGGCCAATGACATCCTGAGACTTAGGATAGCATGAAGACAAATCTCACTCAAGTTCCGTCAAAGTCAAACTCACCCAAAAAATGGTTTTAATGCTTGTGACAGTGTCCCAACCACTTTTCTTTTTAGTAAAAAGTCAATCAGTTAGTAATATTAATTTTGTTACAATTATTATGAGAATAATTTTATTCAAATCTCTACGAAATTAATATAACATTTTTTTATTAAAAAGCTTCTGAAACCAATAATACAAACGCAAATTTAAATTAAATAGCAAAGACTCTCTTACAAATATAATATCCTTTGTTAACGGCATATAACTCACCTAGATTCGTGGCCAATAGCCTACCATAGATTCAAAACATAAATTAATTTTAAAATAAACACGAAAATTGCAATAAAAAAATGAAAATAAATACTATAAAAGGGTACAATAAACAGAAGGCGGCATATGAAAAAGTCAAAAAAAAAGAGAGAGGAACTCCCAGAAAACATGCAAAAAGTCGAACAAAAGGACAGTGACATGATAGTCAAGGAACATATCCTGCAAATATATCGCAAACCTTTGAAAAGCAAGACCTCACACATTTATAGAACACACATTTAATAAGCTTTATTATATATATATCACATGAATAAAAAAAAAATGGAACAAAAAATTGTTGCTAGCTTCTTGGCCAAGGTAGCCATAAATGAGAAGACAAAGTTCTGATCATCTCATCCCAATCATTGAAAACAAAAGAATCCATAGCCAATTTGAGATATTAGAAAGTGCAGGAGAAATGAAGGTGTGAAAAGGGCCATAAGCCGACTCATGTTCCTTCGGGCCTCCTTGTCTCGTGCTGTGTAGGCATCACCAGAGGAAGACCATAATACCTTGCTCCTTCACAATATTCTCCAGAATCAATTTTTGCTATCTTCCCAACCCTACAACGTACCCCTTAATATATAATACCATACTTAGTTTCTTATATTTATACCATGCATGTATGCATTACATATGTGCATGCAGGTGTTTTATGTTCTCTTTTTAACATACATGTGCTACACATAACTTCTTCACGTGAAACCCACATGACTTCCATACCTCAAGGTTTTCATGTCTTTGAATTATATAACTTTGATGTGTTTGTGTGAAAAGCCTTATGGATTAGCATTAACTTGCTCACCTTATCAATATATTTAATTAATGTGTGAAACCATATGGTAATCCTATTTTAACTTTATTAAAATATATATAATTGAGATTCTTGAAATAAAAAATGAAATCAAAGATACAATCTTAGCTTTTGCACCGCCCAAAATAAAGGGATTGGAGTAAGGTGCCATTACGGGGAAATCAGTGGGTTCTTGTTGAACTTAAGAATCAAATCATGTTATTATGCTTTAAATTAATTTTTAAAATGAAGAAAAATAATATATTAGTGACAGGAAATTATTTATATAAAAACAAACTATGATCTTTTTGCATAATATTTTATTCATCCCAACATACACTTAAAAGGATGATGATATGAAATATTTACATATCTGAAAATTAGAAATAAAATAGTAAAAGAAATATATAATAATAAATTTAATATGTAATATATTATCGCCCCTCCCCCTATTTCCGCGTTTGGAAAGTTTGGAATAAAATAATATGGTGGTCGGTAGGCGTCCTTATTTAGTACAAGCACATGACATTTACGTCAGCCATTTAATTCCTTTTATACCCATCCTTATAATATATATATATATATATATCTTATGACTTACGGCCATGACATGAGTAACGTATAATGACATTATAGTAAAATAGAAAATAGAAAAAATTAATAATTCCTACCCTCTGATCATATATATTATAATTTAAATGCCCCTCATTATGAATAATATTTAATAAAATTCACTGAGATATTCCAAAATCTTGATAAGAGAGTTGTGGCTGAACTATATGCAATAATTTAAATTATTAAGTTATGATGTATTTCATGTGAAATACAATGATTATAGATTATGTATGGAAATAATTCAATTAATTTGATAGAGTTTATATATAAGAAAAATATTAATATTGAATTTTGTTTGGATAATTAAAAAAGAGAAATAAAAAGAGTGGGATTTTGTTTAGGGGTATTAGAGGAAAGAAGAAATGTGCATTGGGGACAAAGTTTGATAGTTGGAGGGCCGGCCTAGCATCGAAACCAACATAATCCTTTTGACTGTCTTTGTGCATCTGACCAACAACAACCCACTTGGGATGGTCTTGTTTTTGTGTACAAAACAACACAACACAACACAAAAATTGCTTAAAATCACAGTTATTATGATGTTTATTATGAGTAAGAGAAAACAGGTCGGTTTGGTTTTGTTGGGAACCAAGGACTCTACCAAAGAAAATCGGTTCATGTCGGCACAACTTAATGCTAACCCCTCCTCCACCGTCTTCCGCCGCTTTTCTCGCTAACGGCGTCATTTCCCTCGCCACCACTACCACCTTTGCAAGCCATCTCTTTTCTATATTATTAAAATCTTGTCACATGGCCACACATGATCATCCTATCGTTTCAACAATTCTCTATACTTCAAATTAAATTAAATTCCGAAAAATCCTAATTTTCTCTTTAATTAGTGAGAGAGAGAGAGAGAGAGACTAAGGAATTAATCAAAAGATTGATAATTAATTAATTAAAGCCACTACTAATCCCACAAGGGACCGAGTGCACTTTTTTTTTTTTTTTTTTACAAGACTAAAATTTTTAATTTGAATATTTCAACGAGAGATTAAAAGAATCCAAGAAATAAATTAAAAAAAAAAAAATCCCCCAAATATGGATGATGAATATTATGTTCATACGACCAGGCTATCGTTCAGCTTGCATCTTGCGGTTGGCTTCTTGAGCTGATTGCCGGAAAACCCATTTGGTGAAAATGTTTTTCTTGATGTTCTTGCAAATTTTATTGTCATGATTACGATGATTTGAAGTAGTAGTGGACCTCAATTCTGTTACAAACGACTTCAATCTTCGGACGGCGAGTTTCAATGTTGATTCCGACATGTTGGCAAAGCAAACACGGAACCACCCTGGTTCAGTGCAATGGCATGATGATCCAGGCGAAATGTTTAAACCCACCTCGTACACAATCTTCTTCCACAGCTCTAGCTCGGATTCGAACTTGTCGGATTCCAACAAATGCCTCATGTCCACCCAACAAAACAGCCCGGCGTTGCTATCCAGGCAGTTAATACCGGCCTTTTGTAAGCCGGACACAAGCATTTTTTGTCTTTGTTTTAGCCTTTTTTGATTCTCCGAAATGTAGCTTATCGTGAATTTCTTGTCGGAGAGCATAGCGGAGAGAAGGTATTGTGTTTGAGATGAGACCAACCCAAAGCTCGACATTTTGGTAGCCGCAGCCACCACCATGTCATCATTTGAGTAAATTGCACCAACGCGAAACCCTGGAAGACCCAAATCTTTAGACAAACTGTAAACAATATGCACTCTCTTCCAAACCTCCTCGTCTTCGCTACTCCTCTCCTTGAGCACTTCCATCGCACTCACAAATCCCGGGGACCCAAACACGGTGCCGGAGTAGATCTCGTCGCTGATCAAGTGAATTCCTTTGGAGGTTATGAAATCAAAGACAAGGTTGAGTTCATCCCGGTTCATTGTGGTGCCTAATGGGTTAGATGGGTTTGTGACCAACACGCCTTTGACGCGTAGGTTGCGAGTTTGGGCGTCTTTGTAGGCTTGTTCAAGAGCGGATTGGGTGATTTGGAAGCCATTGGAGCTAGTGCAATGAATTGGCACAATCTCAACGCCGGTTCTCCATTTGAGATCTCTATCAAATCTGTTTGAACAACAAGTGGAAGTAAAGATGAGAATATTATTGTAATTAATAAATGCATATAGCTTAAATTTTTGGTAAAGCTTATTAATTAAGTGAAT